GACAAAGCCATCTGACAATGGTATGGCCAAGCTAAGGGTCTGCTCTGGGACCACTCTTCAACCCAGCCTCACTCCCCTTCCACTCAGCCACACCTTGCACCTGTTTAACACCACAGGATACCTACCAACTGTATCACACCACAATGTGATACAATTTCTGATGATTATCATAGCAGTAGTCAAAACACAGATGATGGGGAAGGTCAGTTATGAGTAGTGGACAAGAATTAAATTGTCAGGAAAAGCCAAGTGGGCAAATGAAAAACAGATACAAATTAGAAGCAGTTTAAATTTGATAACCAAAGGCAAGTAAGCAGTCTGTTCTTCAGAAAATAGCTATGAATGAAAAAAAACCAGTATCTCTGGGAGTTATTTTGAGGACAGCCTCCAACTCTCATTTACTGGGAGGGATGGAAACCCAGGCTTCAGGATCATCTGGGCCTAGGTTGGAGATGTGTGCTGTTTGTTGCTTACTAGGTGACCTTGAGTAATGCTCAACTTCTCTGCGTCCCAGGGCCATCCTTGGTAAAAGGGAGGTGATGAAAAAGAGGACCTGGTTCAGAAGGTTATTGTAAGTGTGAAACAAAGTGGTGCATAGGAAGCATTTGACCAGTGTTGATGAACGACGGGCAATAAATCAATGAGAGGGCTCCTCTGACTTTTTTTTTTGAAACAGGGTCTCGTGCTGTCACCCAAGCTGGAGTGCAGTGGCGCCATCATGGCTCACTGCAGACTCAACTTCCAGGGTTCAAGTGATTCTCCCACCTCAGCCTCCCAAGTAACTGGAACCACAGGCATGTGCCACCATGCCCAGCTAATTTTCGTATGTTTTGTAGAGATGGGGTTTTGCCACGTTTCCCAGGGTGGTCTCAAACTCCTAAGCTCCAGGGATCCGCCCACCTCAGCCTCCCAAGGTGCTGGGATTATAGGCATGAGCCACCACACCAGGCCTTCTCTGACTTTTGATACAATTTCTGATGATTATCATAGCAGCAGTCAAACCACAGGTGACAAGAGAGCAATTGCCTGGATTTAATCATCAGCACCTGAATCACTGACTTTATTTTACCAGCTTTTTTGTTTACAGTTCTCATCAGCAGAGTGCCCTCTCTTGCTAGTGAAAATAAGGGATCTGATCATTGTGGTCTTCCCAGGTTCAAATATGACAACCATGTCTGTAGTAGCACATCAGGAGAAAGAGTGGGGACTGAGGTCCCCAGATTTGAATTCACCAGGCCTACGTGTCAAAACTAGGATTTCCAACAAAGCAATGAGGAAAACCTTACAACTGTGTCTTTGTTGGGTGAGATATGTGAAGCCCCCACCCCCAGTTCCACCCACAAGGGCTACATAATGGCCGAATTGCATTTAAAAGAGGAGGGAAAACTGCATGCTGGGCTTGGCCTTGCTGAGTGGGCCATGCAAGCTGAGAGCCACAGCTGAACTGTTCAGGATCCAGGAGGGGTCTGCAGAGTGAGCATGGGGAGGGGGTTCCTGGAGGGTCAGAAATGCTTCTAGAGAGGATTAATTAAGTACTGCTTGATAAGTGCCAACAAAGGTGGGGGTCCTCTTCCCCATCTTCCCATGAGAGGACCCACAAAATAACCTTCCTTGCAAGATCACTGTGGAATTGGGTGGTTTTTCTGGGAACTGGGACCAAGTCCTGAGTCAGGACTCCACATGGCCCAGGAACAAGAGTGAAGTCACTCAGGTAGCGGGTATAACCCACCCTATCTGGGAAGTACCTGTACCACTGTATCACTGAGATAAATAAGTTAACATGCATTGAGTTCTTCCTAGGTTCCAGGGACTAGGTAAAGTGCCTAAGCACTTTACATGAGCTACCTCATTTCATCAGCATGATAATCCCATGAGCAGGTGCTATGATCAGCCTCATTTTACATGGAAGGAAGTGATAATGGCTCAGAAAGATGAAATGACTTGTCTTGGGCTGTGCTGCCAGTTGGGATGGAGGTGGACTTGCTCTTAACTGCTAAGCTATAAATCAAGGCCCAATTTACTAATTACTTGTATAATTAATATATGAGGTGGGGGGTCAGGCTGTGCCATTGGACCCCAATTGCTCTCCCCTATCAACTAAACTCATGAAATAGATGCATATCTTCTTTCCTCACCCCTTCAGGGAATTTCTCCAGGGATGAGTCCAATAGAACAGCCTTCCCAGATAGAAGGAAGCTGGGTTTTGGTCAAGGACATAGTAATAGTGATACTCCCTGGTATATAATCATGCACTCACTTATTTAACATTTATCAAGGGCCAACTCTATGTTCACCATGTGCTAGGCATTGGGTAGCATTGACTAGAGATATAAAAATAAATCAGAGAATCTGTCCTCAAGGAACTTAAAATATGGGGAGGAGACAGACATGCATAAAATTAAGTATATGTGGGCTAAGAATGTCTTAATTAAGGATGTCTTAATTTGCCATAAAATGAGGAACAGATGAAATACTCTGAAATCTGAGAGCTGGGATCAATTACTTCTAGTTTGAGCCCAGCAGGGAACTGGAAGCTTGAGAGAGAAGTTATGGAGCTGAGTTTAGAAAAACAAGTAGAAGTTAAATATGCACAGAAGAGGAGCTCAGGGATTTTTTTCTAAAAAAAGCAGGAGCAGATGCACAGAGGCCGTGAGGTGGGGGCTGGTGCAGCGAACTCCGAGTGGTTCTGCTTGGGTGGAGGGTACCATCGGGAAGGGGAGCACTGCGGGGGAGGGATGGAGGGAGGAAGGAAGGAAGGAACCAATGAACAAATGAAGAGCCTTGAAGGCTAGGCTGAGGGCTAGTGACTTCATTATGTGGATCCACTGTTGTCAAATGGTGAACCACAGCCCAGAGGTGTATCCCAAATTCTTCCCTTCCTGAGCGTACTACCCAAATTCTGATCAATGTCTCATCATCCATTTCTGCCTCAAGTAAAGACACAAATGTCATGGTGAGCCCTGTCAAAGGAATGTGATGCTGAGCGGATTAAGTGGCAGGCAATTAGGGGGAGGTATAATATGGAGTGATTAAGAGGCAAGTGGGGCAGGATACTGTCAAGGCATTGCTGAGGAAAAATCAAGTATTTGCTAGAACAGAGGAAAACCTTGTCTCCTCAGTATACGGCAGTACCAACATGGCAGTAGGCAGTTCTTCTCAGATGGGGACCCTGTGCTGAAGGGCAACTACTTTGGTGGTATCATTAACTATGGATAATTTTATAGACCTCAGGATGTGTCAAACTGATTGAGGTTTACACTGTAATTACTGCCAACTTTTTTAGTATCTTTTTTTTTTCTTTTTGAGACAGGGTCTTGCTCTGTTTCCAGGTTAGGGTGCAGTGGCATGATCATGGCACACTGCAGCCTCAACCTCCAGGGCTCAGCTGATCCTCCCACTTCAGCCCCCTGAGCAGCTGGGACTGCAGGTATGCACCACCATCCCTGGCTAATTTCTTTCTTTTTTTTTTTTTTTGTAAATATTGGGTCTCACTTTGTTGCCCAGGCTGGTCTCGAACTCCTGGGCTCAGACAATTCTTCTGCCTTGGCCTCCCAAAGTGCTGGGATTATGGGCATGAGTCACTGTGCCCGGTCTTTAGTATTATTTTGAATCATTTAATCTGGATTTGAGTCCTAACTCTGCCATTCACTCTTGATCATTTTTCAGGCCTGTGTCCCTCCACTTTCTCCTCTGCAAAGTGCAGATAACAATAATAGAAAGAAGCTCACATGGCTGGGGAGGGCAATTGCAATAATGGAAGATACAGCATTCAGCAAAGTGCCTGGCACACAGCAAGTGCCTGGTCAATAATAAATGCTGTAATTTTACTCTCTTCATCTGGATCATCCAAAATTCTAGAATTCAAAACAGTGCAGGGAACACATACACCCAAAGTATCCTGTGAACTACGGAAAAGAGGGCGTCTCTAAGGGTATCCACGTGGGGGGGAGGCCAGCACTGGAATTCGGTTTGTACCAAGTTTACTGAGTTTTTGCCTAGTATCTACTAAAAAAAAAAAAAAAAAAAAATTAGCCAGGCGTGGGGGCGCATACCTGTAGTCTCAGCAGCTCAGGAAGCTGAGGTGGGAGGATCAACTGAGCCCTGGAGGTTGAGGCTGCAGTGTGCCATGATTACGCCACTGCACCCTAGCCTGAAAACAGAGCAAGACCCTGTCTCAAAAATACTAAACTAAAACTTCCCTGCAGAGAAGCTGATTCTCTGCAGTGCAATGTTAACTGTCATTTACTGAGCACTTACTGTTTTCCAAGACTCTCTGCAAGCAGTTTACATTCATGACAGTTGGCATGGAGTAGAGAGATGCCAGGGGGAACAATCAATCCAGAGTCAAGTAGGAAGTAAGCAGAGTTTTGTGGGATTTTTTTTTTTTTTTTGAGTTGGGGGTCTTGCTGTTGCCCAGGCTGGAGTGCAGTGGCGGGATCATGGATCACTGTAACCTCAAACTTCGGGCCTCAAGGGATCTTCCTGCCTCAGCCTCTTAAGTAGCTGAGACTATAAGTACGCGCCACCACACCTAGCTAATTTAAAAATAATTTTTTTTTAGAGATGGGGGTCTCACTATGTTGCCCAGTGGTCTTGAACTCCTGGCATCAAGTAATCCTCCCACCTTAGCTTCCCAAAGTGTGGGATTATAGGCATGAGCCACTGTGCCTGGCCAAGGAGAGCTTTAATCAGTGCATGTAATAAACAGAAGCTGAAGACCCAAGAAACCTGGTGGATGCCAAACTGCACAGGAGAAGGGCAGGCAGGAGGCCAGGCAAGGCGGAAAAGCTCTCCAGAGTCCAAGTGGCCAGACAGATGGTAGCGCATGTATGTGCACAACTAGATGGTGTGGCTGGAATGGGGTAAGTGACACCAAACACAGGCTTTCCCTCCCAAAGAGGTCATCTGGAGAACAACTTGATGGTACCAAGATAATGAGCTATCATCTGATAATAATGATTGAGAATCTTAAAATAAAGAAATCCTGCCAAATAACTGACCTCAAAACATTTTTCTTTCTTCGCTTGGTGAAGCAGGCTAGCCATTCCGGGAAGCAGAACAGGAAAGATGAAAGTTTCCAAATATTCTTTGGGAGAACCTAGAACAAACAAACAAAAATTCCCACTGAAAATCCCCAGTGGCCCAAGCTAATCTGGGAGAAATGTTTACTTTTGAGCCAGAAAAAGGTACTGTCCATTCAATCACACGATCTTGGATGTTATATTTTGCTCCAGACTGCAGAGCTGGGCTGTATAACTAAAGTAACTTAAAATGTCCCTCTGAGCTTCTATAGTCTGGTGAAGATGTCGGAAGTATCCTACATAAGGCTGGGTCCACCAGCTTGTTATGGCCCCAAGCCAGGAACATCAAGGGGGCCAGTGTGGCCGGATGGACAAAAACAAGGGGAATGTGGTAGGAATTGGGACCAGAGAGGAATTGGGAGTGAGAGTATAATGGGTAAGGTCTTATGATCACAGTAATAAAGGCAGTCGTTAGCCAAGGCCCAAGGCATGCAGAACGCAGAACAAACCAGTATGAGAGGGTCTGGTACTACTGAGGGCCCAAGGAACTATGACTCAGATCTGCAGTCTACACCTCTGGCTTCCACACACAAAGCAGGGTAGCATGATGATGTTTTCTTCTACTTTTTACTTTTTTTTTTGAGACAGAGTCTCACTCTGTGGCCCAGGCTGGAGTGCAGTGGTGCGATCATAGCTTACTGCATCCTAGATCTCTCAGGCTCAAGCAATCTTCCCACCTTAGCCTCCCAAGTAGCTGGGACTGCAAGTACCTGCCACCATGCACAGCTAATTTTTTTTTTTTCTCGCTCTGTTGCCCAGGGTAGAATGCAGTGGCTCAATCTCAGCTCTCTGCAACCTCCGCTTCCCAAGTGCGATTGATTCTCCTGCCTCAACCTCCCAAGTAGCTAGGGTTACAGGTGTGCACCACCAAACCTGGCAATTTTTTTTTTTTTTGAGATGGAGTCTCACTCTGTTGCCCAGGCTGGAGTGCAGTGGCATGATCTCAGCTCACTGCAACCTCCACCTCCCAGGTTCAAGTGATTCTCCTGCCACCACGCCCGGCTAATTTTTTTATTTTTAGTAGAGACAGGGTTTCACCATGTTGGCCAGGCTGGTCTCAAATTCCTGACCTCAAGAGATCCTCTCGCCTCAGCCTCCCAAAGTGCTGGGATTATAGGCATGAGCCACTGCATCTGGTCATAATTTTTTTTTTTTTAATTTTTTGTAGACATGTAGAGATGGGGTCTCCCTGGGTTCAAGTAATTCTCCTGCCTTGGTCTCTCAAAGTGCTGATACTACAGGCACGAGCCATCACAGCCGGCTACATTTATTTACTGCTCTCTTTTCCTACTTTTTATTGAATGTAAAATCAAAGTACACTTTTTGTTACTTATTATCTTAATTACATTTTTAACCTTAAAGATAAATCGTGAAATAAAGGACATTCTCTTAAAAATAAAACAAAAACACATTCTTTCTTATGTATGTGGTCTCCCTGAAGTCTATCTGTCCGCCTCCATACCCACCCTGTGGTTCTGCAATGTTAAAAGCCCCAAATTAGAAAAGATGGCATCTCTCTTACTCACATGTTTTTGGGTTGACTGTTTCCGATTTATCTTGAGGACAGGGTGTATGTGAGATCATGGTGAAATGGGAAACCGGAAAATAGTGCTCTGCACTGAAGCCATGAAAAAGCATTTCCTCTACTGGCGCAACCTGGAAGCAGACAGGGGAGGGGAGGCAATTCATTCAAACAGCTTAAATAATTGTATTTTCTTGTATAACCTTATGAAGGAATAAAATTCTACATCAGACTTTAAGGTTCAAGGGGTACACTGAGCACAGATCTTTGTCTCCCTTCCCTCCTGAGACACCTATAAATGACAAGGCATAACCTGTGATAGAGAAAAGGAGGACCATCTGCGGATGAGAGATTGGTAAACATATCCAAAACACCAGGGATGAAGCCTCACTCAAGAAGCAAGAAGCTCACACCTGTAATCCCAGCACTTTGGGAGGCTGAGACAGGAGGATCACCTGAGGTCAGGAGTTCAAAACCAGCCTGGCCAACATGGTGAAACCCCGTTTCTACTAAAAATACAAAAAAGTAGCCAGGCGTGGTGGCGGGCGCCTGTAATCCCAGCTACTTGGAAGGCTGAGAGGGGAGAACTGCTTGAACTCAGGAGATGGAGGCTGCAGTGAACTGAGATCGCACCATTGCACCCCAGACCGGGCAACAAGAGTGAAAGTCCATCTCAAAAAAAAAAAAAAAGCAGCAGCAGCAGCAAGAGTGGAAGTAACAGTCACAGGAGGAGGCTGCCCCAGAAAATAGACGTCCACCTTCCCATCAGATCCCAAAGGGACTAAACACTCAAGTTGACAGGCACTGTACAGGGTGGGAACAAGAATGGAATGACACACGACGAGGCTGGGTGGAAATCCGGCTGGGCTAACTTGGCCTGCTGCCCACACTCCCCTCAGGCTTCTTTCTGTTCCCTCAATATCATAAAGCTGTGTTCACACCAGTTGGATCTCCAGCTCGCCCTCCTCTCCAGGAACTCTTCTGTAAACCAATGAAACTACCTGAAAAGGAGTAGAACACTTAGAACCACTTAGGGCACCAAGATGGTAGGAAAAGAAAAAAAAAAAATCGGGCTGGGCGTGGTGGCTCATGCCTGTGATTCCAGCACTTTGGAAGGCCAAGGAGGGCAGATGGCTTCAGCCTAGGAGTTCGAGACCAGCCTGGGCAACATAGTGAGACCTCATCTCTACTAAAATTAAAAAATAATTAGCTGGCAGTGGTGGCATACAGCTGTAGTTCCAGCACTTTGGCAGGAAGAGGCGGGAAGATCGCTGGAGCCGGGGAAGTGCGCTACTGCACTCCAGCCTGATGACAGAGTGAGACCCTGTCTCAAAAACAAAGAAAAAAAAATTGATTTAGAGACCCCCCCCCCGCCACTGCCGCCCAATCCCCAAATACCGACTTTCTGCCTGTTCACTCTGAAGAATAGTCGGCCAGTGGACAACCACCCTTCATGAGCACTCAGTCAGCGTTTTGCTACTCATAGAAGAGACCCATCCAGAAAACAAACCCACATGTACAGCAGCAGGAGAAAACCACACCAGCCATGATACTGTGATGGTTAATTTTCAGTGTCAACTTGACTGGAGTAAGGGATACCTAGAAAACTAACAGAGCATTATGTCTGGGTATGTCTGCAAGCGTTTTCTGGAAGAAACTGGTGTATACGCTGGTGGATTGAGAGATCTATCCTCAATGTGGGCAGGCACCATTGGATTGGCTGAGGGCCTGGAAGGAACAAAAAGTTGAGAAAGGCTGAATTCTTGCTCTCTTCTGGAGCCAGGACGCCCTTCTTCCGCCCTTGTACCTCAGAACTCCAGGTCCTCTGGCTTTTAGACTCCAGGGTTCTCATCAGTGGTCCCTGGGGGCTCTCAGAGGCTAATTAAGTCCAACTAGATTTCCATGTAACCCTGTCATACATCATAAACAGAGGCCCTCAGACTGGTAGTTACACTGTTGTTTCTTCCTGGCTCTGAGGCTTCTGGATTTGGACTGAGTCACTCTACCAGCTTCCCTGGTTCTCCAGCTCGCAGACAGCCTAATGTGGGACTTCTCAGCCTCCATAATCATGTGGGCCAATTACCCCAGTAAATCCCCTCTCATATACGTATCTCTCTATATAGCCTACTGATTCTGTCTCTCTGGAGAACCCTAATATACCAGCTATATAGAAAAATCCACTCAGGACCATTGTACATTTTAAATAAACAATCAAATCTCTTTATACAGGTCAAGAAGATCATAGCACAAAAGACAAAGACCAACATCTATTGTCAGAACAGCTGACCCTGGAAGAAGCACAGAGAATTCAGGGAAGAGAACTGTGATTTGTATCGGCAGAGAAATCTGAAAAAGAACTGCATCCATAAAGCAAAAACAGGATGTTAGGAGAAAAAGAACAATCACAGAATAAAGTTTTTAGACACAATGTCTCTGTCACAGGCAGCTGCAGTGATGGAAGTTACTAGAAGTCGAGAAACAGGTTTTGATTCCATCCGTGTTACCATGCTCAAGTCCCTTCATCTCTCAGAGCCTTGCTTTTTAAAAAATTCAAACTCCATCAAGCTCCTATCTAATTCCAACGTAGACTTCATGAGGGCCTCTCTTCCTGGCTGCCCTGTCATTAGCCCTCTCTCCTTAGCACAGTCTTCATCTTGTCTACCCTGGCATGCAGAGAAACTTGGTCTATCTGCAACTGCCCCTCACATGGACATGGTGTTAGATCCACTGCAAAGGCTTTTCTCATCCAGGATCTCATGTGAGCACCACAGAAGCCCTGTTAGTTAGTCAAGGATTATCTGTCCCATTTAATAAATACAGAAATCTGGCTGGGCGCAGTGGCTCACAGCTGTAATCTCAACACTTTGGGAGCCCGAGGCAGGCAGATCACTTGAAGTCAGGAGTTTGAGACCAGCCTGGACAACATGGTGAAACTCCATCTCAACAAAAAAATCCCGGGCATGGTGGCGGGTGCCTGTAGTCCCAGCTACTAAGGTTGCAGTGAGCTGAGTTTGTGCCACTGCACTCCAACCTGGGTGACAGGGCAAGAGCCTGTCTCAAAAATAGATTAGATAGATAGATAGATAAGATAGATAGATAGATAGATAGATAGATAGATAGATAGATAGATAGATAGATAGACAGACAGACAGATAGATAGATAGACAGACAGACAGATAGACAGACAAACAGATAGACAGATAGATGCTGAAACTAACGCTCAAAGAGGTTATGTGATGCCCTCTAAGTCACACTGTTAGTATTAGAGCTGGGGTTAGCCCCAAGTTTCTGGTTCTCGCTCCAATGCTTTCCCTTTTCCACCTCCTGAACTCAGTGACACTGTGTGACATTCACAGGCCATCAGTGCTATTCTCATTTAAGAGCTTCTTGCTTAGGTTGAGGCCCGGGTAATACTTACAGTAATCACAGGTTCCTGTTTGACTTTATATCCTTCTGGAAAGGGAGGCTGCTCAGCTTCATACTCTAAAGGAAAGGGGAAAAAAAATCCTCAATTCCATACTTCACTGCAGTTTCTGATGTAATTTCCTTTTCTCTGAATAAAACATTCTTAAATTTTATTTTGGCTGGTGGTGTACAGAAATGAAAAAACAACTGGCCGTAACAGGTTAACATTTAATGTAATTTAAAATTAACATTTAATGGTACTTAAAATCAGCAAGAGGCTGGGTATGGTGGCTCACACCTGTAATCCCAGCACTTTGGGAGGCTGAGGTGGGTGGATCACAAGGTCAGGAGATCAAGACCATCCTGGCGAACACGGTGAAACCCCGTCTGTACTGAAAATACAAAAAAACTAGCAGGGCGTGGTGGCAGGCGCCTGTAGTCCCAGCTTCTAGGGAGGCTGAGGCAGGAGAATGGCGTTAACCCAGGAGGCGGTGGAGCTTGCAGTGAGCGGAGATCACGCCACTGTACTCCAGCCTGGGCGACAGAACGAGACTCCGTCTCAAAAAAAAAAAAAAAAAAAAAAAAAGGCTTTATATAAGAGTCTGAGACCCTTTTTCTTAGAGGACACAACTTCAGATTTTGCCAACATGATAGAAACTATTAGGAATTAAGGGAGGAAGAGAACACAGAGGTTGGTTAAGGGAAGACACTGAGAGCACATGCAGAAGAGAGGCTAACGGCCGGGCACGGTGGCTCACGTCTGTAATCCCAGCATTTTAGGAGGCCGAGGAGGGTGGATCACTAGGTCAGGAGTTCGAGATCAGCCTAACCAACATGGTGAAACCCCATCTCTACTAAAAATACAAAAATTAGCCAGGCGCGGTGGCTCACGCCTATAATCCCAGCACTTTGGGAGGCTAAGGCAGGTGAATCACTTGAGGCCAGGAGTTCGAGACCAGTCTGACCAACACGGTGAAACCCAGTCTCTATTAAAAATATAAAAATTAGCTGGACGTGGTGGTATGCGCCTGTAATCCCAGCTACCTGGGAGGCTGAGGCAGAAGAATTGCTTGAACCCAGGAGGTGGCAGTGAGCTGAGCTTGCACCACTGCACTCCAGTCTGAACAACAGGGTGAGACTCTGTCTCAAAAAAAAAAAAAAAAAAAAAAATTAGCCAGGTGTGGTGCTGGGTACCTGTAATCCCAGCTATTCAGGAGGCTGAGGCAGGAGAATCACTTGAACCCTGGAGGCAGAGGTTTCAGTGAGCGACAGAGCGAGACTCTGTTTCAAAAAAAAAAAAAAAAAAAAACAGTCCACATAAGTTCTACAGGGTTGCAACAACTATGACTAACAGAGGAACAGAAAATGCTCATGGCCAGTATTAGTTACATCCCTAAAGCAAAGACTGATAAAAATATTTCTGGAAAGGTCCATGTTGTCAAGGCAATTGTACAGTCACTTACAGTCATGAGGAAAAATTAATTTGTGGGCAAGATGGTATTGAGGGCATACAGTCATATGGACACAAGTTTTATATCATTACCTAGTTACTTATCAGATAGTACAGTATTTCCTCCACTTCTCAACATATATATATATTTTTTAACTCCTAAGCATCAGGCTGGGGACAAGAATGTCAGGTTGCAGGTTAAAAGCAATTTATTTCTCAATACCAACTGTATTTGTTTTCTATTATTGTGTAACAAATTAGCATAAATCATTGACATAAAGGAACGCACATTTATTATCTCACAATTCCCTTCATCAGGAGTCCAAGAATGGATCAGGGTTTTATCAGGCTGAATTCAAGGTATCAGCCAAAGCTGTGATCTCTGAGGGCTGGGATACTTTTCCAAGCTCATTGGTTGTTCATAGAATTTCGGTTTTGATAGAATTTTAGTTTCTTGGCCGGGCATGGTGGCTCAGACCTGTAATCTCAGCACTTTGGGAGGCCAAGGTGGGTGGATCACTTGAGGCCAGGAGTTTGAGACCAGAATGGTCAACATGGTGAAACCCCATCTCTACTAAAAATACAAAAATTAGCTGGATGTGATGACTGGCACCTGTAATCCCAGCTATTTGAGAGGCTGAGGCACAAGAATCACTTGAACCCGGGAGGTGGAGGTTGCAGTGAGCCAAGATCTCACCATTGCACTCCAATCTGGGTGACAGAGTGAGACTCCATTTCAAAAAAATAAAAAAGAATTTTAGTTTCTTGTGGTTGAGGTCTGAGGTCCTTGCTATCTTGTGGTTGTCAGCTGGGGACCCTCTCAGCTCTTAGAAGGCACTCTCAGGTTCTTGCCATGGGTGATGCACAACTTGGTTGCCGCTACTTCAAGGGCAGCAGGAGAATCTCTTCTGCTTGAATCTGACTTCTGACTTCTTTTAAAGGCTCACCTGATTAGGTCAGGCCCAGCTACAATAATCTCCCTATATTAAAGTCAGTTGATTAAAAGCTTTAACCATATCTGGAAAATCTGAGAGCCACACCTAGGTTAGCGTTTGATTGATAACTGAGGTGTGTTCACAAGGTGGCAAGAAACTTGGGGGCTATCTTAGAATTCTGCCTACCATACCAGCCCCAGCTCTACCATTTTTTTTCCTCTCCAGCAATCATGTAAATTCACCCTTCTTCCCCAGCTGCCTTGGGAACCACTGATACAGTGTGAAACTGTTTACTTGGGCTTAAAATGTGTACATTTATACTTCTGTCTGATTACAAAAGCAAGACATACTTATTGAAAGAAAATTTCAAATAACACAGGGATGTCTTATGTAGAGGGTAAAAGTCACACTTAGTCCTATTGCAATCCTAAAACCATTGTTAGATATGGCATAGATCCAACCAAATCTTTTTTTTTTTTTTTTTTTTTTGGCGGGGGGGTGGGGGCGGCGACAAAGTGTCGCTCTGTTGCCCAGGCTGGAGTGCAGTGGCCCGATCTTGGCTCACTGCAACCTCTGCTTCCTGGGTTCAAGCAATTCTCCTGCCTCAGTTTCCTGAGTAGCTGGGACTACAGGCACATTCTGCCATGCCAGACAAATTTTTAGTATTTTAGTAGAGATGGGGTTTCACCGGGTTGCCCAGGCTGGTCTTGAACTCCTGAGCTCAGGCAATCTGCCCGCCTTGGCCTCCCAGTGGTAGGATTCCAATGTATTTACTAATATATGTATATAATACACAATACATTTGTTTACTTTCAATTTCCCAGGCTAGGTCAAATTGCCCATGCATAGAACCACATAATACTGTGTCCTTTTTCTTCACAACTCATATTAGTTTGTGCCTTATTTGAAATTTATAAAAATTAGTGACTATCTTGTTTTTTTTCTTTTTCTTTTTTTCTAGACTGAGTCTTGCTCTGTTGCCCAGGCTGGAGTGCAGTGGCATGATCTCCGCTTACTGCAACCTCCGCCTCCCAGCTTTAAGCAATTCTCCTGCCTCAGCCTCCCAAGTAGCTGGGATTACAGGCACCCACCATCATGCCCGGCTAATTTTTGTATTTTTGTAGAGATGGGGTTTCACCATGTTGGCCAGGCTGGTCTCAAACTCGTGACCTCAACTGATCTGCCCACCTTGGCCTCCCAAAGTGCTGGAATTACAGGCTTCAGCCACCACGCCTGGCATTAATGACTATCTTTTCTAATAGATTATATGTTTTGTGAGGGAGCACCGGGATCTGTTCTCTCACCATTACTTCCCCACAGAATACTGGCTGAATGAATGAATGAATGGATGAACAGAACCAACCATATCGTAAGTTACTTTTGATGCCTTATTCATTCACTTATATTTATTGCAAGCCCATTACCTGCTATGAACCATTCTATGTGTTAAATATGAGGCTCCTTTCAATGTTGCTACATACATGATGTACCACATTTATTTAACCATTATACTCTTAATGGGCATTTGGGTTGTTTCCATTATTTTATTATTATAAACAATGTTTCAATGAACATCTTTATACAAATATCATTGATCTGCAAAGAGGTGTTTTGGTAGGATCCTTAGATGTGGAATTTTTTCTGCCAAAGGAAAAAATAATTTAAAATTTGGGCCAAATTGCCAAACTTTTCTCCAAAAAGTTTATAGTCACTTGTACTCCCAATAGTGACACTGCCTGTTTCTCTAGAGTATAATCAATCTTATACATTAAAAATTTTTCAACACCTGTAAAAGAAAAAAAATGGGATTTTATTTTTATTTGCATTTCTTTATTACTTGCTATCATATTTTTTCCAGTGAAATCTCTCAGGAGTTCACTTAAATTTGATGGAAAAAATACAAATTTCTTCATCATATGATCACAAAAGACATATAGTTGAAATGATTATGTAGAAGTATGAAGTATGGGAAAATACTTTAGCTTCAAGACAATCTGATGTGTTACTTAAAACCTCTGTAATGTTTAAGAGAATCTAACATATTTGAGAATGTCAGTTTTCCCTGTGGTTTCAATCTGAAATATGATTACAGACTGATGCTTTTACATTGAAAGGCATAAAAGAATTTAACTTTGTAGAGTACTGGACTATTTAAAACAACTTGATTTACCATAGTTTAATTAATTCAATTTCCAAGAGTTGTTTTGGTGCTTAGAAGAGTGTGCTTATCTGCTCTGTTCTGCATTAGAAATGCTTAAGAAAATCAGGGGCCCAGGCATGGATTACAGGCTCACACCTGTAATCCTAACACTTTGGGAAGCCAAGGTGGGCAGATTGTTGGAGCCTAGGAGTTCAAGACCAGCCTGGGCAACATGGCGAAACCCTGTCTCTACAACAAATATAAAAATTAGCTGGGTTTGGTGGCACACGCCTGTAATCCCAGCTACTTGGGAGGCTTAGGTGGGAGGATCACCTGAGCCTGGGAGTTGAGGCTGTAGTAAGCCACAGTCACACCATTGCACTCCAGCCTGGGCAACAGCCTGTCTCAAAAAAATAAAAATTAAAAAAAATTTTTTTTAAGTCAGTTATATTAAATGTACAAATGTTTACAATCTTTCAATCACCAAAGCTTATAAATGGCATTAGGGCAATTTAATGTTATATGCATATTAAATGAACATTATGAACAAGTG